GGAAGTCATTTTAGTAATTTGTCTAAGATGGCCAATAAATACCTTATACATCTGTTCATATAAACCCTGGAACAACTATACCCAGAAAGCTCTGTCACCAGGTATCGTGATATCCTCTCTGTAAGTACGATTTAAGTCTTTGAGAAGGAAGAAATTTTTTCATGGCTGGGATGCATGCCTGGACCCTGTGGCCCTAAAAGACAAAGTTTCTCATGTAGTGGTTGTTTGGGCATCTGTGTGTCCATTATTGATCTGGAGAGTAGGGACCCATTTTGTAAGCATAACCCAAGGGCCATTCAGTCTATAAGGCCAGGCTGGCTAAGGGGAAGCCCTCTTGCTTCCAGTACACTCTCCGCTTGTTCTGTCTTAAACGTTTAATTAACTTCCCGCCTGCGTACACAGCTGCGGGCACAAGATTAGAAAACCACCTTGAGGAAAAACAGATCAAGAGTCCAAAATAGGTCGACCACAGACTGCTGAGGACAAGACCCACCAGACCACCTAGTGTTTGCTGATAACTAGCCAGCAAGTCTTGATGACGAGCACAATGCTTGCTGTCTGCCACCAACCCCCTTTACCCCTTCCCTTTATAAGCTGATCAGTAAGCAAAGGAGATGAGATGGCCTCGGAGACAATAGTCCGCTGTTTCCTCTGCCTTCTGGCACGTGGATACACCCTCTCTGTCACCAGCACTCACCCCTCGTGTCTGGTTCTGAGGAGGCGGGCAGCCGAACCTGCACTCGCTAACGTGACAACCTGTCATGAGCCAGAGCAAAGTAGAGAGAATTGACGACTAAACGTAATGTACCATTCTGCAGGGGACCCTGCACTAGAAATGGATATTAGGGGAAAAGCTAGTGGAATCTGAATCAACTGTGGTGCTTACTTAATAATATTCTATGTTGGTTTTTAGTTGTGACAAATGTACCACAGTACTGAGATGTTAATAATAGGAGGAGCTGGTCTCAGCACGGTGGCTCACGGCTGTAGTCCCAGCTACTGAGGAGGCTGAGGCAGGAGGATGGCTTGAGCCCAGGAGTTGGAGGTTGCAGTGAGCTATGAAGACACCACTGCCCTCTAGCCTCGGTGACAGAGCTAGAACTATCTCTAAAAAACAAAAACAAAAAAAGCCAACAAAAACTACAGACTCTCAGCACAAATGATTTCATCCACCCCTGTTGCCCCACATTAAAAGACTTAAACACTAACATAGTTTCTAACAGCTCAAGGCTACATCCCTAGGATGACCCTACCCCCTCTAAAGGACCTTCCTCAGAACGTTCAAGGCTGCCAAAAAAATTTTCTCTTTGTTCTAGCCAACATCAGATAATAGGGCTCTGACCACCCTTTCTTAAAGCATTTACTAGTAAGAGCTTACATTTGTGAATTCTTTCTCTGTCCCTGTGGGATCCACATGG